ATAGAGGAAAGTCTCGATCAGCCCGCCACAATTGTCGACTTTATGTCATACAGAATCCGCGTAAATTCGAATTGTCCAGTGTGGCTCAACCATCTTCTCCACCCATATCATCGAAAAAGTAGCTGGTGTGAAAAAGGTCGGCTCGCAAGTCGCCATCGATGCTAATGAAATTTCTAAGGTGCTCAATAATTACGGCACTTTCACAATACTACATACCAGTAAGATGTCAGAACTGATCGAAAGTGTATACTGTTTATAAAGGTCTACGTACATTATAAACAAATCAAACACAATTAAGTCCGATGCGGTACTCACGGTGCCCCGAATCGTCTGCTGGTGAACCGTGCACGAAAATTTTCGTGTGGATTGAGTTTCGACACAACATGCCCCGAATCGTCTGCTGATGTACCGCGCATAATTATTATTTTCCGATTTTATGACGAAAACATTGTGATCGGTGTTGCGACGCAACATGTCCAGAATCGTCTGCTGATGTACCGCGCACGAAACCTTTTTTCCGATTTGTTTTGAAAAATATTGTGATCGGTGTTGAGACGCAACATGCACCGAATCGTCTGCTGATGTACCGTGCACGAAATTTTTTTGTGTGGATTGAGTTGCGACACAACATGTCCCGAATCGTCTGCTGATGTGCCGCGCACAAATTATTTTTTTCCGATTTTTTGAAGAAAACAATTATGATCGGTGTTGCGACGCAATATGTCCAGAATCGTCTGCTGATGTGCCGCGCACGAAACTTTTTTTCCGATTTTTGTTTGAAAAAGATTGCGATCGGTGTTGCGACGCAACATGCACCGAATCGTCTGCTGATGTACCGTGCACGATTTTTTTTGTGTGGACTGAGTTGCGACACAACATGCCCCGAATCGTCTGCTGATGTGCCGCGCACGAAACTTTTTGTATGGATTGGGTTGCGACACAACATGCCCCGAATCGTCTACTGGTGAACCGTGCACGAAAATTTTTGTGTAGATTGAGTTGCGACGCAACATGTCCAGAATCGTCTGCTGATGTACCGCGCACAAATTATTATTTTTCTCGATTTTTTGAAGAAAATGTATTCGATGTTGCGACACAACATGTCCAGAATCGTCTGCTGATGTGCCGCACACGAAACCTTTTTTTTCTAATTTTCTTGAAAACTCTTTTTAATTTTATTATATTTTTGATTTTCAAATTGCTATATAACTCACACACATACACACATACACTAACTACATACAAGTATGAACAATCGTATTTTGTGTAATAAAAGTATGAACGAAGCCACCCAGATGCTCGAACGCATCGTGCACATACCCAGTGTACCAGACGCCGAGTGGGAAAAGCTCGATGTCCTCCTCCAAGACACGCGATTTGGCAACGTCTCGGATGCCACGGTACATCGGATTGTACAAAAGGCGCAGGATAGCTGCGGGAATATTACGCCCGCACTGGTCCACGTATACGTTGCCATTGTGCGCGACTGTACGAACGTTCGTGGGCTACACGTGTCAGTCGGATCTTGGCTAGCCGAGCTTACGGTTCTTGTGGTCGTGTTTGCACTGTACAAGCGGACAAACGGGTTTGTGACAAAATAAAAATAAATCAGAGTTTTAAGAGTTTTAAGAGTCTTAATCACAAATACACCGAATAAACAGACTCGGTGACGACACACTTGGTCGTCACCGCGTCGTCGTTGTCGGCTGCCCCGTGATCGTCGCGCACCCAGTTCTCAATGTGGCGGTGCATCATCAGAGTGCGCACCTCATCCATCATGTCGGCGACGGGCGAGAACTGGTACGTGTTCTGGTCCGGGTACAGCACCACAGGCGCCAGTTCCACGACTTTCTTGCCGTACGCTCGTTCGACCATGTACTTGTAAATGTTTAGCTGCAGTGAGTAATGGTAGAACTTACAGTCCAGCACATGTTCAAGACCCGCCATACCGCTAAACTTCTTGAACGCCGGTGTAGGCGTCACGTCCTTGCACCGCTTCCAGTCGTAGATCAACAGATCACCGTCCTCATTCTCAAACACCATGTCGATGGACCCTGCGAGGTTGTCGGTCTCGCTGAACACGCGCCACTCGGACCGGTAGGGTTTAGAGTTTTTTTTTGCTGATGGATGTAAATTGCGAGTTCTCAAACTCGTCATTGTACACGGGACGCGACGCCAGTCCCGACAGTTTGTCTTCATCCTCTTCGCCAAAATAGGTTTTAAAGAACACGTTCTTCACACTACTCTTGAACTGGATCAGCCGTGCCCTTGCGACCGATCAGGGGTCGGGTAGTGTGGCCATCGGCTTAGAGGCCGGGTACAGCACCCAGGGTGACCAGTGCGTTGCGGTCGGCATCAACGCCGGCAAGACGGACCAGGGCACCGACAGTGTGGCGGTGAGTACGGGAGCCGGGATGAAATATCAGGGCATCAATGCGGTTGCCGTAGGCCGTTCCGCGGGCCGCGAGCGCCAGCTCGAGCAGGGTGTGGAGGTGGGCAGAGAAGCCGGTGAAACTGACCAGGGGTCGCGGGCCGTGGCTGTGGGCAGCTCGGCGGGCCAGACGAGCCAGAGCGAGTGTGCGATTGCCGTTAGCGACAACAGCGTTAGGCTTAACCAGGGAAGGTCGGCAATTGCCATGGGTGACAATACCGGTGAGACTGCACAGGGTGAGTATCGTGTGACCCTGGGGTCAAACTCGGGCAAGACTGACCAGGGTATCAGTTCTATTGCAGTGGGCGACCAGGCTGGGTTCGCGACCCAGGGGGTCAAGTCCGTAGCTATCGGCTACCAGTGCGGGTACACAGACCAGGGTTTAGACGCCGTGGCCATAGGCAATATCGCCGGCCACACGACCCAGGCCGACTTTACAGTGGCGGTGGGTACCCAGGCTGGTAGATTGCGCCAGCTGCTGCAGGGCGTTGCCGTTGGTGCAAATGCCGGTGAGGCAGACCAGGGTGTTCGCGCAGTGGCCGTTGGTAGTTCGACGGGCCAGTCTAACTAGGGTGAGTGTGCCGTTGCTATAAGCGACAAATAGGGCAATGATTCGCAAGGTATCTCGGGGGTTGCTATTGGTAATAATGCGGGTTCCATCACCCAGAGCGAAAACGCAATCGCGGTCGGGACAAAGTCCGGCTTCACCATTCAGGGTATGGATGCAATCGCCGTGGGTACCACAGCGGGCAGTGAAAACCAGGGCTCGAATGCCGTGGCGCTCGGACGAACGGCTGGCGAGATGTCTCGATGGGGTAGCTATAGGTATGGATACTGGCAAGACCAACCAGGGCCCGTATGCGGTCGCCATTAGCAGCTTGGCTGGTCGGACCAACCAGGGTGCAAGCTCAGTGGCCATAGGCAACAGCGCCGGCCACACGACCCAGGCCGACTTTACAGTGGCGGTGGGTACCCAGGCTGGTGGATTGCGCCAGCTGCTGCAGGGCGTTGCCGTTGGTGCAAATGCCGGTGAGGCAGACCAGGGTGTTCGCGCAGTGGCCGTTGGTAGTTCGACGGGCCAGTCTATCTAGGGTGAGTGTGCCGTTGCTATAGGCGACAGCTAGGGCAATGATTCGCAAGGTATCTCGGGGGTTGCTATTGGTAATAATGCGGGTTCTATCACCCAGAGCGAAAACGCAATCGCGGTCGGGACAAAGGCCGGCTTCACCACTCAGGGTATGGATGCAATCGCCGTGGGTACCACAGCGGGCAGTGAAAACCAGGGCTCGAATGCCGTGGCGCTCGGACGAACGGCTGGCGAGATGTCTCGATGGGGTAGCGGTATGCGGTCGCCATTAGCAGCTTGGCTGGTCGGACCAACCAGGGTGCAAGCTAAGTGGCCTTTGGGTCGTACGCGTGTTCCAATGCGTCGTCCGATCGGTCCGTGACACTCAACAGGACCGGTGTGGCGCTCTTCAACGGGGTGGATAACTTGTTTATGGTTAAGCCGGTCCGCAACGCAGCGGGTCCCAATGCGCTGACTTACAACCCTGCGACAGGCGGGATTACATACTCGACGTCGACCGCACAGACCCAGGAAAACATAGTTGACTTTACACGCGACGCGGGCAGTATCCTCGACCAGCTGGTGGTCAAGGAGTTTATTGACGATTGGTTGTCGGCTGAGAAGGCTAAGGGAGTGTCGCTCCCAGCGTTTGAAAACGATACGGTGGTGGTTCAGCAGATGTATGCCGACTACGTGGCAAAGACTGCGAGTGTCCCTAAGGGGATTGTAGACAAGAACGAGACATACTTTGGGTTCATGGCCGAAGAATTGCAAACTGTGATGCCCGAGCTCGTGTATGACGACATGAGTGGCAAGGCGCTAGACGTTAAGTGGAATAATATTATGGCACTACTAGTGGTAGAGAACCAGCGTTTGCGCGCAGAAATGAGCACTCGGTTTGCGGCGATTGAAGCTAAACTCGAAAGTTTCTAAACCCTAAACCCTAAGTATTATAATTTATAACGGAATATGACATTTTATCACCCAAATCAATAAACCTAACCCAGGCGATAATGTTTTTGTAAAACCCTAAAAGCCAAACATGGTAATTGAATAAAAACCTACTCAGTTCATTTGTATTAACTTAGCATACATTTTTCTGCGTTCCTAAAGGTGTGATTATGAAGAGACTAGTGGTGAGTGTGGCTTATAAAAAAACCCTCAGAATCTAGTACGCGCAATCCGTGAATATCCACTTCTGATCCTCGTAGACCTCGGATTTCCTCTGCACCATCAACTTGACTATATCAAACGAAGAGTAGTCCACAAGAATATAGTCGTTCATGCTGCTCACAATATAACCCCCGGAAAAATACCAGGCTGACCACAGCTCACTGGTAATGTCTATCAAAATGTTGTCACCGTCAGTACCGAGCTCCGGTTCTCCTGCAATCTTGTACAAGCCATTGTGACTCAGGCGGAAAGAGTCAGTGTTGCCAATGTACCAACGCACGGTAGGCTTCTCTAGAGTCATGTGCAGATCGTCGCCTTCACCCACGGTCAGATACCCCGGGGGCCGTGTCGCTGACGTGTGTAATGTGACAGTACTTGCTCGCTGGTGCATCACAGTCACCGCCGTCGTAGGAACAGCTGGCCACATTGCACGCTACATCGCACATGCCGTCTGCAATGTAGTAGTCGAATACGCACAGTCCGACTCTGGTGCGGTCATTCCGTCACAGTTCCCCAGATCAAAGCCGCAGAATGCCGTATAGCAAGCGTCGTCACAGAACCCGTCCCCCATCCAGTCCGCCGGGCAACCGGGGCAGCTCTCGCTACCACTGCTACTTCCGGTGTCCTCCTCAGTCTCATCATTTCCGGTAATGTAGTTGATAGCCCCCACCACATTCTCCACTTCGTTCACAACACTGTCCAACGTTTCTAGTGCGCCCGTAACCGGGCTCAAAGCCCAGGACACGGCGGTTTCTACAATTGGAATGCCGTCTACGGCATCCGTTACCGTATCAACAAATCCTGATACGGCGTCGATTACGGCACCAAAGAAACGCGGGTGAACGGTAACCTCCAGATAGCCTTTGTGACCAGGACGCGTGTCATTGCCCATACTGCGGCGCGTACGGGCCATGGCACCGTTGACCATGCGGGTGTGTACGCTGACGGATGATATATTGCGTAGTACACAGGCCAGATCCGCGATAATGGCCTCGGTTCGCGTTTCGTTAACAAACTGCGTGGACACGGCAATGTCTACCGCGGTAAGTGAAGCAAACTGTGGTACAATACGGTGTGTCGGGATGACGGGGACGGGAACGGCAAAGAGCACGGCAACAGCAACGGCAAAGGGCACGGCAACAGCAACGGCAAACGTTGTAACCAACAATGCTGCTAGTGTTGCAAAAATCATTATCAAAGCTGTAGGGGTTTAGGATTTTAGAGAACTTTTGCTGTTGCTTTTTAGTATGTTTCTATGTTTTTGAGTCTGCGAATTCTGGTGTAAAATGAGTTTGGCATTTTATACTATTTTCGGGAGGTACGTGACGGGGGGGGGGGGGGGTTCATCAATCAGCCACATCTGATGAGTCGCCGAACAAACATCAATACAAAACCCTAAACCCTAACCCCTTTACTCAGGGTTTTAGGGTTTAGGGATTTTGTGGCGCACATACTCATGTTCCACCGTAAAACCACTGAGTGATTCTAACCCCTAAAGGAAAAAAAAACAGGGCTTAAACTTTTGCAGCCAACACTCGGTTTGAAAACGATTCATTTTATTTACCAATGCACGTGTTTTAGGGTTTAGTGTTAACTTAGCATACAAATTCCTATATGTTGCTACAGCGATTTGTGACGGCGCCTTCTAGATGCAGTCTACAAAATGCCACTTTTGGTCCTCGTACTCGATAAATTTGCCGGCAATCATCAACATACCACATCGGCGCTGGAGTAGTTGACCACAATATAATCGTTCGCCACGCTCTGAATAAAGACCTGTTCCTTCATGATCCACTTGTTGTTCGGTGCGGTCTTGCTCGTGTTGACGGTGAGTCGGAAATTGTCGCCATTCGTACCCGGGACAGTGGTGTCCTCAGCCATCAGATACTTTGCACCGCGACGCATAGTAAACTCGGTATCGGAAACATACTCAATCATCCAGCGGTCCGTTTTCTTGGTGACCATATCAGCCTTGTTGTTGACAATGTCGAGGTACTGGTTCAGTGTGTCGTCGGGATGCGTAATGCGACACTCCTTTACCACCATAGTCGGTGTGTCCTGGTCGCCACCATTGTTATTGTTGACAGTGTTGCCGCCGCCATTGTTGTTGACCGTGTTGCCGCCGCCGTTCGTGACACCAATGGACGTGTCAATGACTAGATCTCCGGCAACCGTGTTACCGTCAATATAAATGTTGTTGACATTATTGACAACGGTCTCATACATACGCGGGTCGATGCGGACTTCAAGATAGCGCATCTCCTGTGGCTCAGCCGCGGCGGGGGCAATGGGTATAGCGCGGGCCATCTGGTCCACGTTTTCAGCGTCAATCTCGTAGACTATAGCTCCAGGGTCAGATTTGGCGATGTACTCGACCAGGCTAAACACCATGTAATCCGTAACAGTCGCGTTCGAAGTATGGGCCACGAGACCAATGTTCAGCACCATAGTGTTCGTGTCCGGGGCGAAGAGTGTCATGGGGAACACGAACGGCTCGTAAATGACCGAAGGTTGAACGTCGTCGGTCACCCGGGCGTAGGGGTGAATGGTCGGCGCCGCGGCAGCGGTAAAGGGCATCATAGACTGGACCACCAGGCACGCGGTGGCGGCGGCAAAGATCGGGTTGGTATAGCGGTAAAGCATTTTTTGTTTTAGGGTTGAAGATTACTGGGGTTTGAGGCTGGGTTGTTCTTTCTAGGGCTACTTTTAGTGTGTTGGGGTAAATCGATTTTTCTTCGGCAAGGTTTTAGGGAATTTAGGTTTTGTTTGTTTTGTTATAAGGAAAAAAGTTAAAGTGTGAACGATACAGTGAATCTACATGCGAGTTATTTAGCCGGTTGTTTGGAGTCACGCTCCACTAAAACGACAGTGCTAAAAAATAACCCTAAAACCTAATCGCGAGCACCAACCATGTCCGAACGGTGAACCCCCCACCAAACTGGAGGCTCTCTATACGTATATGTATATATAAGTGGGTTTTGCATCTCACCCAACACACTTTAAATATACACCGAGCGAGTGAGAGTGAAGAAGAAAAAGTGGAACAATCAACAACGCCAATAATGCTTGAACTTCTGAGATTGCTTTGTGTGTGGAAACACAAGACTAAGGTTGCCTTTGATGCCACCTCTCAAAACCTGGTTGGAGTCCTAGGGGGAAGCCAAAATTTAATGGAAAAGTCTAAACTTTGCGCTGCGGCACACGAATCCTATACGAGGTTCGAGAAACGTATTCTCTTTTGTGAGCACCTCTGCCAGATGATTCGGAACAGATACACCTTGCCACCACTTGAGATGATTGGTCCCGCGGATGACTTGTATGGGCGTATTTGTAACCGATTGAGGTATGGTAGAAATACCTTGATGGCGAGACATGTACATCTTCAGAGCGAACTTAAATTGTTGATGGCGCAGATGGCGTGTGTAGACGCTGGGATCCATGTAAAACTAGTCGCGTGTACTAACATCAAGCGAAACTTGGAAGATCAGGCCACACTTGTACCGATGATGGCGGGATTTGGTGACATGCTTCGCTTCATCCACACCGAGCCCGACTGTGTGCATGATGTGTGTATGGAGGTTGTAGTAACAACCCTAACCACACCACTACCAATACACCCAGATACACCGCCGCCTGTATCCATAGTGTTGTCGGACGACGCTGTGACCGAACCAACAACTACAACATCATCACCGTCCTCATCAACAACAACAGCCCCACCAATACCCGATACTCCACCACCTGTAACCGTAGCGTTGTCGGACGACGCTATGATTGGAACAACTCTTACACTACAGCCACCGATACCAAATGCATATGCGCTCTCGGGGCTGCCGTATGTTACCGTGACCCGAAAAAGAAAGTATATGATGGGTTATACGGGGGAATACAGACGAGATGGTTATTACCGTGCAAGAGAATATCTGTTAAGCAACCCCAGGCGGCCTAACTGTAGTGTCCTAGTTTCGTCGATTGGTCTAAATCGAACCTCGGGACAGTCGGTAGTTCATAAACTCCAGAAGCTAATCAACGAAAAACCCGGGCTCTTTTCGGGTTTGGACGTGAAACATGAAGAGGGTGAGCTGAAGAAGGAGATATCGGTGATAATTCGCGAATATTACAACCTCCGTACTGGGAAGTACAACCTTGAGCACAATAGCCCACTTTGTAAAGCATTGTTTGTAAAATTCCTGATTCGGGACTGCAATGATGGTCTCATGGAAATGATGGCGTTTAAAACCCTGTTTGACGAGTGCTGGATCTCGAACAATGCGCTAGCCAACAACAACAGTGTAGGAGTGTAGAGGTAGACGTCGGCATATACATATATAAAGTCAATAAAACGAACTCTAAAACAATGCGCTAGCCAACAACAACAGTGTAGGAGTGTAAAGGTAGACGTCGGCATATACATATATAAAGTCAATAAAACGAACCCTAAAACAATGCGCTAGCCAATAACAACCGTGTAGGAGTGTAGAGGTAGACGTCGGCATATACATATATAAAAGTCAATAAAACGAACCCTAAAACAATGCGCTGACAACAAAATAGTGGGGTAGAGTTGTAGGAGTTTCGGTATATACATACATAAAGTCAATGAACCGAACCCTAAAACAATACGCTGACAACAATATAGCGGGGTAGAGTTGTAGAGTCTCAGTATATACATACCCAAAGTCAATAAACCGAACTTTAGGGTAAAGTCTATTTCTTTTATTTAAAGATTCAAAGGTAAACCCACCTTAGGGTTTTAGGGGTTTAGATCCACCTCAAAACAATTCCAGCTCGTTGATCTTGAACGAAATCGGTACACCGGCATTCTCGTCTAGAAGGCTACGTGCAATAATAATATGCACGCAGTGTGCCAAGTCCCAAGATTTTATGAAGTGTATAAAGTATTGCACCGCGTTCGGGACACGCGTGGTTTGGGGGATAACACTCAGAATATCAGCCAAGCAAATTGAAGTTTTAGGGCAAACTTCCTCTCCAAAGACCACGCCACTCTCATACAGATGTAGACATCGCGGAACCATATCTTCCTGAATACCCATACTTTGGATATTCTGCGAGGTGGGAATCATTTCGAAGGGGTCAAACTCACCACTAACAATTAGTTGTTGGAGCATACTGCGGTCGGACGCAAGTTCTCGATCGAACTCAGATTCCAGGTCGAACGCAGATTAAACATAGAGGATTTGCGAGTCTCTCGTATCCACCAATTGCGGGGGTGTGTCATTACTACTGACACGTCTGGCAGTTTCGGCTCGAGTTACCGGCATTATCGTTATTTGTATTGGTATAACTGTTTATACAATTGATCGTATGGAATATTATGACCCAATGTGGTCGATATATATATCCCAAACAACCGGGTTTCTTGTGGGGTGGTCCACCAATCAAGGTTGAACCGTCGACCACCCCACTGCGCTGGTCCAAGTACCAGCTTGTTTTGTTTTTGGTTGTTTTCCTATGTTTTCAGGGTTTAGGGTGTTTTTGTTGTTGTTGTTAATTTTGAGAAGAGGACAAGAGTCGGGTTTTATGTTTTGTTAATGTTTTAGGGGGTTTTTTAAAATGTTTAGGGTTAGGGTTTAATGAGAAGAAGAGACAAGAGCCGGTTGTTATGTTTAGGGGCTTTATTAACAAGAATGGAAGGGGTTAGGGTTTGTTATTGGGGTTTGGGGGAGACTTGAGATATTTCATCACGAATAACTTTTATTAACAACAAATATATATACTCTCACGGTATGTCCGTTACTGATGTGCCTATCGCAAATGGCCTTGTGCTCTCTTTTGCTCAAAATTCAAAGTGAAGGGGGAACTTCAGGTATTTCATCACAGTGCGCTTAAACTCGGAGTGTTGGTACCAATCGACGTTATTGTCGAGAATCCTTGTTTTGTGTTCATCTTCTTCAAATATCTGTCTGACCATAAACTTAATGTTGGGGCTCACTCGGCGCCACACAGCTTGGGTGCTGGCATCGACCGGTTTGTGGGTCTCGACAAGTCGGAGGTTTTTGGCGTTTTGGGGAACGCGATCCGGTAGTTCCGGTACTCGAAGGAATAGGACCGACGGTGGCAGCTGTTCCAAATCGTGCCCGTTCTGACACACACAGAGGGCCTTCAATTGAGGGAATTTGGATAACAAGTGCATGTTGCGTACTTTGAATGTAAACGTAAGGGACTCAATGCTGTCTACGCCCGGTAAATAACGGGTGAGGTCCTCTGTAAATGCGTAACTGTTAACGTGCCGCACCGAGTTGTTCTGGGGAACCTTGTCCAAATAGACAGGGTTACAAGTCATAGGTCTCAAAAGACGGGTGGGTTCCGAAACCTGAATGTACTGGGAGAAGGCGAGCGACGTATCTTCCATGTCTCCATGATGTTCTTCCATCATCACTGGTGCCGGGTGTGAGCTCAAGTACTTGGCCAGAAGTCCCTCGTCCTTGATTACATGGCGTAGCTCATAGACAATGTGCGTAAGAGCGTACGGACGCGAGAACCGGACATCTGACGAACCACCGGTTCGAACAAACTCATCAAGCGCACCTTCGTTGTCATCCAAGTGTTCAGATGACCGCGGCACGGCCATTACCGATTGATGGCGATCGGCAGCGTTTAAAGACATTGTCCTGTAGGATTTCAGAAGGTAGAGAAGTCATGGTTGGAGTAGCGGGTCTTGTGGTTGTTATTAATGTAGAGAGACTAAGAGAGTGGTGTTGAGCTGGATCGGGACTACGGTTTTATACTAGCCGCGTCGGCAAAATGAAGCACCGATCATGGGTGGTTGACCGGTGAGGGGCGATCGGTGAACCACCCCCGACTACAGCCCAATCCCAAACCGGCTAGAGAAACCCCCCAAACCCTAAAACATTAACAATGACTCGTGCATACAACACTCGTGCATACAACACACGTGGTTTAGGGTTTTAGGGGTTTTTTTTGTTGTTAAAGGGTTTTAGGGTTTAGGGTTTGTTTTTTTATAGGGTTTTAGGGTTAAAAGGGTTCAGGGTCGGGTTTAGGGTCTAGGCTTTATTGAGAAGAAGAGAAACGAGTCTTTTGTTTATAAGAGAAGTGTGTCAGGTTACAAACCAAGATACTTTGTTCACGGGCGCCAGGAAAATGCCTCAAGGTCCGCTGTTCCCCGGTTTTCAAGTGGAGATCGGGACTCGCAAGTTCGCAGTATCCGCAGAGCAGTGTACACCATGTTTTCAGCCACGACATTGTGGTTCAAATTGGCATTGTGCACGATCCGATGGTCCTCGGCCCACGCACTTGGAGTGTTGGGAGTATAGGTCCTGAATTTTCGGTAGCCGCTGTCGGTTTGGCTGGCTAGTCCCCACGCATACTCGTGATTAAAATGGCCAGCACAAGAACCGCAAACGCCCACACGTCCACATCATAGGCATTTACCTCTCCGTCGTACGGGACCTTGCTTTGCTCCTTGTTAGTAACGACCAAAGGGTGAAAGTACAAGGGAGTGCCCACCAAGTTACTCAGGTCAATGTCATCCACCTTCATATATGTCTCAAGATCGATGAGTGTGGCCACAACGTCCCCTTTATCAGATTGACCACCATAGTCCGCTCGGGTGGTAGCAGTGGTGGCGGTGGCTGCGGACAACGACACTGCTGAGCGTACACATATATTGTCCATCTTAATGTCGCGATGGACATAGCCTGCAGCAGAACGGCATCCAACGGGAGTGATGTGTGCCAATCGGTACATAAAACAGCACGGGTTCACCCTACACAGGCAAAATAAGCATCCAACTGAAAATGTGAAGATTCGAAGTCCTGCATGTGATAACACGGGTACCTCTTACAGATACACCTAAATACTCAACGGAAATTACACAAACTTCCAAATCAAACTCTGTTCCTGCGTCCATGTTTACACATGCCCTGTTTGAGTAGCTTTCTACTTTATCTGTGTTAGTGCAGGTGTACAGCCGCAGCCAGCAGCACAGAAGGGAACCCGCCTGGCGGTAGCAGATTCTTAAGTGTGACTGCTGAGCCGGCGAAGTGAATGTGCGCTTTGAAGTAGTCGTCTCGTTCGGCTTCCATGGTCACGTTCTTGAGGGGCATGTCCCCTTTCCTCTGTAGTATGCCATGATACGAGCATCAATGCATAAGTATAGAGTAGTACAGCCACGCTTACCACGCTTTAAGTAAACTTAAGTAGACAGCGGGATGAATTAATGTCCAATATATGCTCAAACTGGCGCCCTTATAATATGCATATCCCAGTTCTAAAGTACTTCATGCTGAGTATTAGCAGAAAAAAAAATGAGAGTTTTACAAAACAAAAAGCTAAATATTAGAAGAGAAAACGGGAGCCTTACAAAAACAGAAATCTGAATATTAGGAGGAAAATAGAGAGCCTTACAAAAAAAAAAGCTGAATAGTAGAAGGAAAAATGGGAGGTTTACAAAAACAAAAAGACGAATAGTAGAAAGAAAAATGGGAGGTTTACAAAAACAAAAAGACGAATAGTAGAAAGAAAAATGGGAGGTTTACAAAAACAAAAAGACGAATAGTAGAAGGAAAATTGGGGGCCTTACAAATACAAAAAGCTGGATATTAGTAGGAAAAATGGGAGCTTTACAACACCCAGTAAGAGAAAGTAGGAGGCAATTGCTAATTGTGGATACAGGAGCAGCGTGGTGCTCTCGCTATAACCCTTTTTGCCCAATCTCACACCAAAGAATGCGACTCAGGACACCTGCGTTACATAGTGCGCGCATCGTAAAATGTAAGCTTAATTCTTCCAACTGTATGTTTTTATGCTACAAAGAAGGATGCTTCCCTGAAGTACATGTAATAAAACTATTTCACAACGACGTTGCGAGCTCTAGCTATATGTAAAACAATATACGTGGAGCCATTTCCAATCACCTCTCTTCACACATATCAACGAAACATATGACCTCATACAACTATGAAGGACTATATAACTTTAATAATGTATGATACCGTACACATGTGATGAGGAATGCGTTTTCCGGACAACGGTGAATGGGTGTCTTTCGCGGGCTGCCTGTACTGTCCATTCTATAGATACACACAAACATACATGTACACATACATGAACTCCATATACACACCCCCAGTGGCACTTGATCATGAAGTGTTGTGTACTAAGGGTCTACTTGTCTACAGCCAACAAGTCACTCTACACATTCTGACGCAAAACATCGCCATACCTGTGGCACCAGCCACTGGGCTATCATCGCCATGTCTCGTAGAAACCACTCACTGTCACCCTCATGGTTAACTAGGCCTGTAGAACTAGACATGGTGTTTTTTATGATCTTCTCAAATTTCTCTATCTCTGCCAATTCAGTGGGCTCTAAATCCCGTTTCTGCTTTTCGGCGTACTTTTTCCGCATATCTGGATTTGAGCGTATATGGAGGGGGCGTCACCAAAAAATTGTCAATAGGTATTTGAAAACTCGAGAAAAGTCGGAATGATGAGATGCAGTGTGGTCGCAGATGTGGTTCGGTACTGTTCCTCAGCACAAGGTCAGAGTACTAGACACACAACAGTTGCATTTACCCACAAACCATGTACAGCATATACACATACACATACACACACTAACTCGCAAACTTCGTAGCGAGCCAATAACATAAGTGAGTGTGGCGGTGTGTGTCGGCTGGTGGCGAGTTACATATTACAAACTGGCACTAAAGTACTCGGCAGTTGCATAGTACCATCATGTCATTAGTAACCAGAAATAGACACCAGTATAGCCACAGATGAAATCGTGTTTTTCGTCGTAAGGTTAAATTCCTCCTCTCAAAAGAGGACCCCCTTAGAAGCAATTGTACGTACGGTGCTGCCAATGCGTATGAGGACGTTTGTCTTAAGTAATGTACGCGGGTATGGGGTGAATTATTATTGTGTATTGGTCATATTTTCGATGTGGTGGTGCTCCGGTGATTATCGTTTCTTCTGTATTCTTGATACAAGCCACATACTCATGCGTCCCTTGACACCCATAGTGTGCTGCTGCCGCACGGGCACCAACAGAGTGACGGCCGCTGTGGCCCAATCAGAATGCCCCTCTTCTGCGAGTGTCAAGTGGTGGTATTGAGAGTAAGTTACATATTCGTGGCTGTACATGGTACTAATTGTAATCATGAACATAGGTACGATACCTCGGCTGTAATGCTTTCTTGTACGAACCGAACACTGGAGTTGGGGCAATTGAAGCTCACCGGTGTGCGATATGAGAGAGAGACAGAGTTGTCGGTAGGGCCTTATTTGATGAATATGATGTAAATTTGACAGACATTTTGGAGATACACAAATGCTTAATCACAGAAGGAGTAACCAGACTTGATTTAAGGTTATTTTTCGCAAGCACAACTATTTCGCGCGCTACATATAGTGTACGTTGCAATCACTGGCGAATTGCAATGCACCGAATTGCAGAGCAGCAGATCACTTAGAGCAGACAGCCTGACCCCACACGCACTTACCAGTCGGTGAATACCTACATACAGTCGCACGCATACAATTAGCTCACTCCATCCATATCACCATCTCCTACAGTTTTAGTGATCTGTCTACATGTGTACATCAATACACAGTACGTGCTCATGTAGACCGGCATAGCGCACCATAGTGCACCTCTTATGGGAAGATATTTGGCCACTTTGTATAGAACGACTTACCAGGCAGAGCTAGGTACGACAGGTATCCGATATCCAGCAGTTTCTGACGCAGCAGTTGAACTGTATGTGCGCGCGAGCATGTTATGTTTGATACAGGTTTAGATCCACGGATACACATACACTACTCAGGCTCAACCGGCCTCACATGTGGGGAGTGGGTAGGAGACCATTGTTCTATGCTTGTTGTTTTTGTTTCTGTATATAGGTTCTACGCGACAGTATCCGGATGAGGTGAATATAGTGTAGGCCAGGCCCAGGGATTCATTCAGTCTTTGTGAGTATCATCCAAGAGCTTAAGCCGCAAATAGGTGTAGTGCAATGGGTATCGTAGAGTGACAGGGGTATATAGTGAGTTGGGTGATGGGTATTTAATACCGTATGGAATACGACAGATTAAGCCAACGAAATGGCAGCCAGTACGGTCTTTTAAATGCATACATACGCATACTTGATAGGTACGGGTCGAATACCTAGTGTGTAGAAGGACACACACACAAGCACACCCACCTATAGTTGTATATCTGTAGCAGCATACTAGTAGTATCACGTGTAGCAATTGTATATATACACTTTTTATACTTAGGCATGGTATAAACTGTCTTTTGCCCAACTTGGATACATGCTGATTATGTACCTACACCGATGCCGATGCCAATCCCGACCAAGATATCGTCATCTTCTCTCTAAAAGCCTGAGACACACTAAATTTAAATAAACAGCCAGAGCTTGAATGCCATTGGACGTTCTGAATGCGTGCCTTGTACCTACCTGCCAACATGTGCCATATACCATATACCTACCTGCTAACATGTGCCCATCCGGATGTTGAAGTATGTTCTGTATCTTTGCATCCTCTTCACGTGACATCTGCATCCAACAACGAATAGACTTCTCAGTGTCGGGAGACACACACGTAACAGAAATACTTTGTATAGCTCTAGGTACACCAGCACGCGCAGATTTGGATTTGGATTAGGGTTCTTTTATGTACACGATGTACATGCATGGCCACAACGGCCCTCGCGCTATAACAACTTCTCCACTACAGAACGTATCCACAAAAGAACGATATCTGCATCTCAATTCCAGTTGTTGTACGGTCACCGTGAAGCCTCACTATCGTCTATGTATTGTCAAGACCTGCACGATACTGGTGATGCCGCATACAGGCACTTGCTACTTACACGACTGGTTTGAGAGCGCCGGGAAGACCTGTCTGTTGCCGCCTGCGGTTGGTATAGCCTGAAAGAGTGCCGGGCGCGGCACTGTAGTATCTCTTGTTTGAAGCTGAAGGGCCCTAAAGTAAAATACAGCACGAGATATGTACACGAAAATCGAAACATAGCATGAGAAATCTATACGAAAATTGGGTCGGGTATAGTTTTCAATTTGGAGGGGAATCGGAGAAGGTTCGTAGAGAAAATGTGAATTGCAGCTGCAAAATTACGGTCCGTGTAAGCTAGATAAATAAAGTTGTGCCTTCTCAGAACGGAACAGTATGGTGCAAAACCCTTTTAGATACAGAAACGAGTCCACAGCGTACCAGTGTAGAACCTGCAATAGTGAATGAATACAAACACTCATTGTAGCCGCTTGTCCGTACCCCTGGCAACCTGTGACTATTTTTAATTCGAGAGTATTTGAGGTCCGTCTGCTCTCCAAAGCTTTAGAGGCCCACGACGTTACGAACTTGGCCATGCGCACAGTGCACTTCAAATGCCTGTATACATTTCTGCGTACACAATGCCTGTTTACATTCATACACACAATTCTTCACATGGAGCGGATACATATGTTCTGAGATATTCACAAAAAGGGTTCACATCTCCGTAAACGTTTACTTTTTCACCTATCTCCACAATGAGCCTCTAACGAGTTTAACTATAGAGTTTGCATATTTTTCTATGAGTATTCGTACCTGCTATAGTGCACCAGATGCTCGCCTGCATCTCGTGGGCCTGGATTCGGTTGGGTAGCAGTCTTGCCGCCGTTCGACAGTAGTCCTCGAGAATCTGGGTGAGGATGAGAAAAAACGTTAGAGACCCAACTAGAGATTAGCAGTAGACGAAGCTCAGATCACTCACAGTAGCCATTTCTGAATCGCTATAAATTATTCATAGGGAATCGACTGCTTACAGACTGATATATATATGTATACACACACACACACACACACA